CCGGTAAGTGATAAAGCATACACAACTGTAACTTTTAGTATAGTAAACCTCGGTATAAGGTATTACTCTCCCGCATAACTTACCCAATTCAAGCCGTTTTCCGATTTTGAACCCAAGACATTTTTCTGTGATTACTGTGGTATTTGCGAGCCATTTCTTCTTTTTGCAACAGTATTTATTGTTTCGAGTCCTGTTCCTATAAACCAGGGGTCACCAAACTTTTTCGACCGCGGCCCGGGTATGACTCAAACTGTGTTGAAACGGGCCGGACAAATATTTTTGTCAATGCAATACAATAAATTCACAAAAATTGGGAAATTTATTCAACAATATATATTCTACATTTCTGAAGACTTGAATATTAAATTCTATATATATCGCAGAATATGGATCTGTTATCAAAACGGTGCACGACTACGGACTGCCTGCTGTAGCATGGAATTCCATGACATTTGGACATAATTAGGATAAAATAAATAACTGTTATCTGGTATTTGATTTTTATTCATTAGCGCATAAATTTCCCAACATTCGGAGCTTTTAAAATTACGCTCAAGTCATTCGTGGTGCAAATTAATGATATTGTCTATGGACACCAATAAAATTGATGTGGACGTGTGTATTTCTTTCCTAACTTGATACATGATACTTACCAATTTTTATGGAGTTTGTACAATCAGAACATCGTTGAATTTTACCCATAATGAACCACTGTCAAACATATTTACGGTCAAACATCATGCATCATATTTCATGAAATATTTATCGAGTATACAGGGTTAATTATTCGTTGCTCATGCTTAAATAAATATATTTTTTTTCTACCTCATTTGATAATTTAATTCTTATCAAAGAAGAAGAGTTGGATTTTCTGTTGTCTTCTTCCTCGAACTTTTCTGCATCTTTATCACATATTCCTAGCATCTCAGAACATCGAGTCCCCGTGTTCGTTCCCATATCGAGTGCTTCGGAATGTATCTCAGGATTACGGATCGTTATTTTCTCGGTAATGTTCTCCTGTTCACTATCATTTTTATGTGATTCATTAATTTTTACTTTCAGGCTGGGGACCGCATCCACATCTTCAGTTGATTCATTTACAGAAACGATACTATTCAAAAAACAGGACAGCTATGCTCAAATATACGGACACGTAGCACCACATAATTTTGATGACGTCATAGCAAAAAATAATAGCCCTAATAATAATAAAAAAGTAATAGCCCTCTAGCAGAAAATATAATCTTTACTCACTGAAAATTTCAAAGAAATTGGTGTAGCAATCAAAGAGTAAGGCGATTTCTTCAAAACGTGTCAAAGAACAACAACAAAATAATACTGAAACGATCGTTATGTCCACTACGTGTCCAACAAATCGATGTAATCACAATCTTATGCTTCTGTTCGCTATTTATTAAGTTCAGATCATTTTATTCACAATTTTCTTGTTTTTCATGTTGGTGAATAGAAAAATTCAACATTTTATTTCTGAATTCAGGTAATAAAAACAAAAAGTTATTACAGTATTTGCATTTTATAACTTACACCCAACGTACCCTTATCATCTTTTTCGACATTGCCGCCGATTTCGAGCGAAGCATTCTTTCCTCCACTTTTATTAACTAAAGTAACTGCGAAGACTTTAAACTTTTTGACGGTCCTTTTCAATCGAGGTTTTTCTAGAGTTTCTACTGGTGGATCACACAGATTAATAAATGTTTCCTGTAAATGTGCGATATTTGAATGGCTTTTATTAACAATCAGCAAGTATCGTTTACCAAGCGCATTGCAATGGACAGTATTTTAGATACGCCATATTTTGCCGAACATACTACAAATAAAATATTTTGCGTGTACCCAAAGTGTTTTTGTGTTTATTAAGTTATCCCTCCAATAATTTGGCATCGGTAAAAAAAATTGGTCTCACCCGTGTTGAAAAATGTTGTTGAGGTTTGTTTTGCTGAAGGTAGCCAACTCGAGCGTATATAAGACAGAAGTGCAGAAAACGAACTATGGCGTGATTGGGATGCCATCCCCGAAAATTTTTCATGTCAAAAACTTTGCATTACTCTCCATATTTTCATCTACATATACTTGTGAATCTCTGTATTTAGCTATGAACTTTATTAAGTCTCTTAATAGGAGTAGCCTGAAAGATGAAACCAGTAGTTCGTGTATTTCTCTGAAGGTTACAAAATATAAATCCAATGTAAAATCTCTATCAGCGGTAATACAGCAGAATATTTGTCGGACTGATATTTGTCCGAACAGTGAGTCTGTCTGTACCTGTAAAAGGTTTATTATTGTGTATCTTTGCTTTAAAGTAGCAAAGAATCGTTTTTAATTTTGGTCGGCACGCGGAATAATTTTGTCGTTAAATTTAGCCGATTCTGGCACGCGAGCCGAAAAAGGTTGCCCACCCCTGGCCTAGTACCTCGACTGGCAACGGTAATGAGGGCATTGTACCTTGACCATTTTGGCGTTGGCGGGATCTCTTTCGGCGTGCACCGCCTGGAGGTAGCACGTCTAAATTTGTATCCTAACCAATCAAAGGGGGGTTTAGTATCATTAATTAGGCTTAGTTTCAATTTACATCATATATTTCTATTTTCCTGTTTCGTATAGTTACTATTGGTCCCTCCTGTGTAATAGCACTGTATTTTACATGACTTCTGTTTGACAACTATTTCAACACTATTTGACTAATATTTCACCAACTTTTGACTCAACAATAAACACCCTTGGACAATCATTTCATCAAAAATAAAGTGCCTGTACAACTATTTATTCCAATCGCTCAACGAGCACATCGCCATCGTATGGTGCTGAGCCGTTGTAATTACTATATTGATTTAAAATACCCGGCTTTTTTGAAAAGTACAATTAGAAAATGGATTTGACTGTGTACTCACATTTTTAAAAGTCAACCCTACAGAAATCGACCAATAATCAGTATTCCGTTGATGCCGTAGTACTGAATGAGAACTGGTCGGCGTAATTTTCCATTAAGTTATAGCGTTCTGTGTTCTTATTATGAGGGTATGCTAGTTCTATTGAGCGTTGTATTTTGTAAACGCTGCAGTGGGTTTAAATACATACCAATCTCTTCAAATAATATTGTTGCATTATTATAAAATGACAGAAAACGCCGCAAACCGAGGTAAAAATATATTTTATCTCTGTGCTGTATTACCTATTACTGTAACATATTTCCAGTGGAGTAACGCATACTAGGCTATTTCTTCTGTCTCAAACCATCTAGATTTTATACTTTATGTGGGTTTAGTCGTCTTTTCTGATTTTGTGATCAGTTTATTTGTTACATTGCAGTATAAGACTATATTAAAATCAGCATATATACATGCGCTGGTAATCATATTTCAATGCCTAATCTATGTGTACTTCGTGGTTACTGCTGAATTCAAGACGATGCCTGTCCTTAATGAATTGCCTAAGCATGAAACAAGAAGAAAACTATAGAATATTGTAATTTAAATACAGCAATGGAAGTTGGAATCCAGCATTTGACGGGAGCGAACGTTTCCTATATATATACTGGATATTAAACGTGACTGGAATGGGAATCTCTTCTTTCTAATCATACTTCAACATGATTCCACAAATGATCAGTTCGAAGTGTACTGATTAATGACAACTGGACTGTGTTGTTAATATCAATGTAGACTAGAAAGCAAATTGAAATGATTGAATTAGCATACACGAGTTCGGGATGATATCGACAGACGGATATGTAATGTTCATCATGCAACAATGTCTTGTTCCATGCGGCTGGTCGAAACAAACGATAAGAACCGTCCAACCAAGTCCACTTGCAAGTTAACAGTTTAATATTCGAACCCATCGTGTCTGCAGTGTGTTTATGTTACACAAGTTGGACACCCGAACGATACACGTTTTTGTTTTTATCTTTTTTGGTTAATGTTTTATATATATACAGATATATGTTTGTGTGTGTAATTTGGAAAACTGGCATGCATTTTATTGCGGAAATTAAAATAAGTTTATACTTATGCAATATACAGTACAGTAATTTCATATACCGGCAGTTTAGCAAAAGGACTGATGCAAAATTGAGCTGACGCGTTCGCAGTTCTACGTTATCAAAGGGCTGTACTAACTAAATCGGTCTATTTCTGCAGGATTGACTTTTAAAAATTCGAGTCTTGCAACGGAATTCATTTTATGTAAGCGGTAAATGCAGAAAATCTTGAAAAATTTAATAGAATCAAATTCGCCACAAACGTTTTGTGATAATCCACCTTTAAACGTTTGCTAACTAATTTTCCCCAACCGTGGATGTGTTTTATTTTTTGTATCTTGTGAACCTTCCGCTAGTGGATGCTGAAGAGCAATTGAAAAGCTTCGTGCCGCAGCAAATTCATCCATCGCCTCTTCCGTTTTCCTAAATTGTGGAGCCGACCGCTGAACAAATCTGAATTATGCTTCAAATACGTACCCAGGTTCGGGAACTGAATTCCAGCGACGCATTTTGCCCAATTTAACTTCAGTATGTGTTATGGCTATTGTTGGATGCTGATCATTGGAGTCGAAATAGGTCACTTTACTAAATTGTTATTGGTGTGAAAATTGCTTTTCTCCGCGATCAATTCCAAATCCAGAGGAAGAATTCGCTGGCAGGCTTTTGGTTTTAATCGTATTTAATTATTTTGATTTTCTCTGAGTTAAATGGTGCAAACCACAGCAGGTTCTGCTGAGGCCTTGTCGGTACCGATATTGCCACAGCGGTTGGGCAGGCAATCGCCGATTTTACGCCATATATTTGAGTTTTGTGTCCATATTTTCGAACATTGCTCTCTTGCTATTTACGTGACAAAATGTACAACTGAGACTCTAAATAGCATGATGTATGAACGGCGATAAAACGGTGTCTTGATCTTGTGATTATGCTGTATATATTCGATCGAAATACGCAATGACTTATCTTACACTAAGCTGAGAATTATCGACTTTAATGTAAATCGGGTTCTCCATTTTTATTAGTACTGAACAAACATAATCGGCACCAAAGTTACGCTATAACTGGCATTCCTGTTTCTTATTTATAGTAGTATAAATGAAATAAACATCACAACGCTCCATTCACGCGTGCGCTTTTAGCTGGCATAGCACAAAGTTTGGGCTGGACATATCAATGAAAAAGAGCATGGTTCAACAGGACGTCAACGATCAATAAATATAGACATATATAACAAAATAAATTAAATTATTTTAACATAGAATAGCAAGATTTGTCATGAGAAGTATACGTATAACATTTCAAGTCAGAAAATAGACTAAGGTCATGGATTCCGGCAGTGATAACTTTATAAATAAATATCATGCACAATAGCCCAAAACACGATTTACCACCTAACGTGTCATGAAGACACCACCTGATAAAATAAACTGTAGCGCCACAATTTTCGAAAATTTTCGTAGCCTCGAGTCGAGAGGCTACTTATCAACGAATATGCTTATTTGCACCGAGGATATTATCTGACTAACAGGATTCATGAGAACTGGGCGATAATGGTTTAAAACTAACTTTCACGGAATGTGCCGGTTTCGTCATTGGAATGCACTTTAGCTTTATTGGTGTAGTTGGGCGAAAATTTGATTTTCGTACAACTTCAATTGTGAGCACACGGAGTACAAAAAGTGCATAATTTACCCCTGCACACATGCGACTTCCTTTTCCAAAAGGGATGAAACTAAATGGTCCATTCTTATTGTGGCATATATGTGATTTAGTATCGTCTGCATGAATCACGTGAGTACTCTTCTGTTGCTTCTGCTTTTCGCATTTTCCACAGGCAAAATATGATGGGTTGTATTCGAGATGCGCAGCCTGCAAAGGCTTTTCCCGTCCAGAAGCCATTTCATGTGTTTCTCGAATACTAAACATGACTTGCCAACCTTTAGGAACTTGATAACCCTGAACATAATAATATACAAAAATTATTCCAACACGGCTTTACCGTGATACAGATATGCTAAAAACACTTCAATAAGAAATGTCCAATCTCGTGCGATAATAAGGATATATATATGTTTCACAGAGTTTCACGAATTTTTTGGGGATTCGGATTCGATATTGAACGGAAGCCTATGGGCAGCCCGCCAGCCCTGGTACAAATGCCATGGGAATACCGGGACAAGTTCTAAAAGACGAAATATTATAATACGGATTAAAAAACAAATCAACTCAAAATGCATCTTTTTATCAAAACATTTGTCAACTTAATCAAATGCAATTTTTCAAGTTAACAATATGAGATTTCAAAATGTTTACGTTGACAATAAAGTGCTAGCAGAGAGAGAGAGATTTATTGTTTGGTCAACTAGAAAACAAGCAATGGTACAATAAAATATATACAAAATATGCAAGTTAATTCGGTATGGACTGGAGGGAGCGATACGACCATAAGGTCATCAAAGTCAGCTCCCCCCAAATTCACTATTAAGATCCACAGTTAATGTATATTAACCACGTATCATCTGATCTGTTTGACACACGCAACATTTAGTTTGATTATATATTTTGATAATAGGACACAAATTCAAAGAGTTTGGGCGTTGATTCTTGAGAAAGAAAAGTATATATACGCGAATTGTTGAATTCGGGCGTTGAAGCTTGAAAAATTAAAATACACGAGCGTGAACACGGGCTTTAAACTTGAATAGTTGATGTTGAGTTCTCGTCCAGATACCTATTTTGTGTCAAAAACGAGACTGAAGATTGATTGTTTGCTTGTTTCTTCAATTGTTGATGCGTTTTTCATTGACTTGGTTACTGATAAATTGCACGACATTGCACCGGCGAGTGGCAAAATCCTCCATTCGAGCAGGCATTGAATCTATACGATTAAAATTATTATCGCACGCATCGTAGTCGAATTTGTATTTCGTTACATTTACGTGTGAGAATTTTCACGTTTTTTGGGCTACGTAACCGCCACGTTACAACGTCAGTTATGCTAAAACGAAAAAAAAAGGTTTCATATGTCGATGGTCAAGAAAGCTAAAGCCAAGATGGCATTGGTTCATTATGGTATTATGACCAAAAGCAAGAGAAGGAATATAAAAACGCTTTTCCCAAACTAGCCCAACTGCTATCTACGGCGCCGTTTAGCAAAAAGATCGACATGAAGTTTACGTGGATGAGTGCGCGGCAATATAAGACTGACGGAAGCATGGTTTCAGCGTTTTCATTATGATGTCACAGACTAGAAAAGTTCGACTCGAGTCCTTGATTTATTACGGTATCTGGATTCGCCGAAACCGACAAACACCGTATTCATCCCATCATAGCGGAAAGCAATCCATCTCTAAATCAAACGGGTGTTGAAAAAGTTCCCTACTTCAGAAATCAACGGCACAGCTTCGAAGAACAGAAAGTTCAAAGTTAATTAAGATACACACTTACGCCCAAATCGAAAGTCTTCTTAGCGAGTCGTATTGCTCCTGGAATAGGGGGTGTGACGCGCAGTACTTCATTGACAACATGGCTGACGTAGGATAGCGAATTTACTTTCGCGTAAGGGATTTCCTCCAATGACATATCCCATAATCCGTTGGCTTTGATTTCTTTCCGTAGCTTATCAAGAACCTGTATTGAAATATTTAGCATTTTATTCAATATTTTAGTACATTTCTCAACTAATATAGAAGAAGACCTTCTTCCAATAATTAAACCCGAATATTTAACTTATCAATGGCCACTCCTAGGCGAATATTCTCCCTAGACACATTTCTTTCCGCATGTGCAAGAATTCTATATCGGCAAAAGATATATATATACTTGAAATATATATATATATATATGAAAATTCTCTGTTCAAAAATTCTTAGTGCCCAATAGTAATCATTTTGTTCGCTCATTGCCAGGAAATTGTGCATCACAACATTTAGAAGGGAGCCCTATTTGTAGGCTGGTATGAAAGCAACGAAAATACCACGTCCTTTACATATTCATAATAGCATACCTCCGGATGTTGACTTAAATGTAGAATTAACAAAGAAGAGGATGACTGTAGACTCTGTGTCCCCGCGAAGATGATTTCCAAAGCAAGATTTTGAAGATTCTTCAATTGTAGACTTGTTTCTCCTTCAAGTCTCGCAATTTTTATTATATTCACAAGCACACTGTCGCAACTTCCACTCAATGCAGCCAATTCGTCGATCGATGATACGACTGGCCTATTAGCGGTGGAGAATCCTTGTGTACTGAACAATTCATCATCTCGACATTCCATTTTTGATTTCAGCGTTGTTTTCAACTTTTCAAATATAAATTTTCTTGCTTGTTTACCCTAGATTCAAAGTGATTTATATTGTTAATCACGACTGAATAATATAATGAGATTTCTGTCGAAGAATTTCTAATAAATTTTAGGTTTTTAGGTTCAAATACACGGCCCTCCAGAGATGTGTGTACCAATATCAGGGTATCTAACTTAGTTCGCCTACTTTACATAAAGTTGTGTAAAGGGACTGTGGGCAGGAGGTATATTCACCTGGCTAACACAGACAGTCGCCGGACTCGTAATATAACTAAAATATGGAGAATCGAAATAAAATTATGGCCCAACTCCAAGCTGGTACACATACTACGGGAGTACCAAATACACAACATATACCTTTCTCCACGATGAGTAAGGGGTGTCCAGAGGAATACACAAAATGCCGTTTATTATGTCATCTGCCGCTGTGATGTATTTTTGTATATCTGGATCGTCCTCTCTAATTCCCAACAGCACCGTCATCATAGTTTTTGTAATCAATTGTTTGCACTCTTCCAAAACGTGAATCTCACTCCTATCGTTCCAATTCTAAACTTTGTAAAATAAGAATTGGATTTAGAAAAGGTTTGGACGGAATGCCGTTGTCTACGTTTTTGCCCCCCGGAAAAGATGTTGTAAATAATGTCGATGCGATGATGTAAAAATGCAGATTTTTACAATATCTACACTTTTTCAATAGACACTAAAAAACTATTTCCATGGTAAACGTAATATGTACATTCATCTTATTTATAAGCCAACATATTAGTAATATGAATCGAATAAATATTCAACCAATTCAGTATTACGTGAATACATATTGAGCTTAATTATAATATTGTTGTCATGTGTCTTGCAAATGTATTTTGTTTCAACCGAATTTGAACAACATTGATTTTGAACCAATATTTTTTCAACCGTATCCAAAGGTAACACGGAGGTTCAAAAGACTTCAACATTTCCCCATATTCGATTTTGTACTCCCATATTGAAAATGGTTTCCGAACAATTTAAATAAATGCATACACGGCATGTTATTAGAAAATCTGTCAACTTCTTGGAAAACATGTCATTTTATTGCCTACGGTCATTTACATGGTCTTACAGGAATTCAAAGAATATTTCATTCTAGAGTGGGCGGAAGGCTGTCACTGTAACAATTTTCACGCTTTTCTTGCACTTCGGAATAGTGTACTATATATAGACACAAATTTTTACCTCCATTTTCATCAATTAGCGAATTATACATCGTAATTATTCCTTCCACTCATGTGTAATCAAGCAGACATTTTAGGCTGACGTATAATCTCACCGCAACGTGACGTTTTACGCTCCTTTGCACCGAGGATGCGTACGTCTCCATAAATCTTGGTGACAAGGCACGCAGCGTCAGTCTCTTTATGGTCGTGTGCGTCTTCTTACATCCATTAACAATTCCGTCTGATCCCAATATAACTTGCGTCGTGTAAGGCCACTTTGTCTCTACCAGTTGACCTAAAATTGCGTTGCATAATTTCATTTTTTTTTCACATAACATTGGAATTGTCATGTAAATGCAGCCACATGAAAATATATCTTAGAGACATCCGATCAAAATAAAATGTGATCGTCAATCTACAAAAAATACTAAGTCCATATACTTCCGAAATGAGACCGAAGATAAAAATCGCATTTTACAATTGATATTTAGCTGTAGTGCTTCAATCGAACGGTAAAATTTTATATATTTCGAGTAATGCATGTAAAATGTCATATCTTAGATTATATTTATTAGAACAATATGTTGAGGTGAACGCCCAATTAGAGGCTTGAAGGTCGTATTAACAAACAAATTTAATTTGATGACTTGTGCAGTTTTGTGTGAGATTTTATCAGCTTGAAATGTCACCATAGTAGCTTTATTTTTGCGCAGATTGTGATCATATTTCAGAATGCACAAATGCCCATTTTTCATCATCTTTTTGGTGCAAGTTGCAAATTTTTTTCCAAAATTTTTTTATTTGCTTCTGAAGTTCAATTTAAGCAGAGGAGGCTCAAAAAATATGACAATCAACACTCTTACTTGAGGAAAAACGCTTCAAAAAAGATTTGGTTACATTATCGGCATAAATCTGGCAACGTCCTATCATAAAATCTTAAATTTAAATTTTAAAATCAACGGCAAGAATACTTTAAAGCTATCAGGGCCAATGAGGAAGCTCAACGTATTTTTGTCTACCCTGCCTTGATTGACATTGTTAAAATCGGCAATACGGTAGAAAATACTTCTAAATTATCTTACTATTTGTTGTGAAATCAAATATGAAGATAGTTATATCAATAGTTTTTACAACAACACAACATCTCAACAGGTGAATATAATGAATAATTAAAGATACTCGCACGCACACCGTCGACCACTATTCTATTTAAGCATGCCGCATTATTTTTCCATTGTACCACTATCTTGTTATCAGATTTTGAAAAACCGTCAAAATCGTGTGCCTTGTGATGTTATGCTGCCATTCTTATGTATGATGTTTGACATGTCATTAAATAAAACTTGACATTATTTAAGATATAAAATTGATAAAGTGACAATATTCATGTCTGGTATGAAATTTACAAATTACGGGAAAAGATATATTTATGATAATCAGATAAAATTCACATTTAATCATTGATAATAGTTCTTTCATAACAATTTTCGAATTTTTATTTAAATTAAACGTTTGCAAAAATGTACTTAAACCGTGTTGGAGAGATAATATTTGTACCAGTAAAAGTTAGTATTTTTGCATGGTACCAACCATGAAATAGAATATCATACGACAAGCCCAAGGAAGCACCTACCCAAGTCAAAAATAGCAATGTTTCTTTGTTTTATGGGTCGATGGTTGTGCATGGTATATCAAACTGAGTCATCGTTTTTAAGCTCTAGTACTAATGATAACTAGCCAATATTACTAAATTTATTCGTAATGAACGTTTATTTTATCTTCATCCGAATGGATATTACGAAGATTACTCATGTTATAAAACTCTTATCTACTAATGAGCCGATGATATATACTCCAAGCATTCATCAATAATTAAAAAACTAAAAGTAGAGTTCAATTTGAAAGAATTACAAACACAGGGACTTGATTAAAATTCGAAAGAAAGATATATTTTGTAATAAATAGTGAACATATCAAGTTTACTAAACGGTAGTGTCTGCTATCATCCTATATTTCTAGCATCAATTTTCAATAGGGTACAGGAGGCATTTACATTTGTAATCCCCTAGCCTAGACGACTTTATTAGTAATTACAATGTCTTTCCTCTTTACATCGAAACTAGAGTATAATCCATCAAGAAAGGCGAATAATTGCACAATTCTTGACCAAGCATTTCTTCGGACACCTCTATAGGCAATCCACAAACTTTTGATCTAAATTATATCCACAATATTCATTGAATTCGATTATAATAAATTACCTTCTCCTAGTAGAAGTTTCTTGATGTATTTTTCGCCCGATACTCTAATGGTTGGTCGACCGAAAAGATGGGTACGGTATATAGGCCCAAATTCTTTTCGTCTGGCCCTCTGTAACGTAACGCCCTGAAAATTGAATGCAATTTTTACAATGAAAAAAGGTGGAATATATAGATATTATTCACAATAAATGCGATTTTGATACATCGAAGTAAGGTAGGTATTCGTATAAGCGTTTCATCGATTATTGAAGAAAAGAAAAGTTACGTTTTCTGTCTGCGTCGTTGTTAACTTCCTAATTCTGTAAACTTCACACTTACCAAGAAAAGGAAATGAAACATCTCGCCAACTATTGGAAATCCCATGCGTCCGTTTGGCAGGGGTAAATTGCATGTTTTGTCTCGTAGACTCACACAGTATTTTTCCCAGAGCAGACAAATTACCAAAATCAGGATGCATGGTACAATTAAACATCTCATGAATGTACAGCAAAAATAATAAGTTTGCATTAATCCCTGGTTTCGTGTAGCAACTTCGCTCTGTGTTTCCATCTTTGTCCCAATATCTATAAATTTAATGATATGCAAAGATGAGTTGATGAATTATGCAAAAACAGTCGTAATTCATACGTGTTACTCAATTCAGACTTATAACTATAGTCGACAAGAAATACAAGGTCAATTTGCAGTAAAGAAATGGATACTTTTAATCAATTGAAAAATAAATAGCTGTTTAACAAATTTTCTGTTTATCTAGCGACCACCCTGTATAATGCACCATATAAAAAAAATGGACAAGCTATTACGTTCCCATAGGTTGTCCTAGGGAGAGTTCATTATAAGAAAAAGAAATCGGACGGCGGCTAATTTATATGACATTTCGGATAAAATAATAACACAGCGATTATATATAACAAATAAAAACTGATAGTGAACGCATCACCTGTCTCATCAGAATTTTATCTCGCAATCATTTGACATCTTACAATGTCAATGTACGCAAAGCCACCTGAGTAGAGTTATGAAAGCAAATCGATTGTGTTGGAATAAGCCTAATGTATAATCTGGTCGCTGTCTCAACATCAAGTAGTGATTGACAGTAGGAATGGATGGACTACTCACTCCTTATAACTACAAAACCATTATGTACTGATTAAACGAGCATTGCCTAAACACATTGGTGCAATTGTTGTCCCGCGGCCAATTTACATCTATTACAAGCGACATATTTTCCCGGCGGTACTCAACTTATTCTGAGCTATAGAGAATATAAAACGACAATCAAAACTCACCATGTTATGATTAGGTTTTCATCACTAAACATAGGACACAATAATAAAATAGCGGCGATCACTAACGGCAAAGTCGTTCGCTAAACTACGCAAAACAAATTCTGTTAATATATTATTTTCAATTCTAGTTCAAAATTAATCACAGATTAAAAACATCGAACAATATCAGTATATATCCTAATCTGTTTAGTATCAAATCACGGCGATTTAAACATATAAGACGGTTTCACAGAATCGCAATTTGTACTTATAAAATAACGTAGCAATATATCTTTTAGTATAATTATCATTATCTGTACAAATATCCTATTTCATTTAAATACGTATAGATAAAGCACCTTTATATGATATACTATCCATTCTGCGCTTTGAATGTTGCAAAAGTATGTATTTGCTGTTTGTTTTCTAATAATTAAATGCCTAACGGGCAAGTGGGAACAAATAAATCCAAGTTATTTTATCTATCCACAAATCCAGGTTGTAACTCACCAGAACTTGTTGAGTTGTCGATATCCGAGGTAGAATTAGGAATATCTGGTTGCTGCAGAGACATGTGCAATTCTTCCATAATAAATAAATGCAAATATCCAAATACTTGTGTCAAGCTGTTGTTTACTGGAACCGCTACTGCAACTTCCGAATCACTACGCTGAAAGTGCGGTCCTCCATCACTAGACAACATGGCTGATTAGCGATAGAAAATATCTTGTGAAAAATATTTGAACAAAAAAATAAAATTATATAATGCATACCATTATAAAATACCCGCGGACGATTGGGATGTTTGTCACGTCCACAACCAATTAAAAAACAAATGCTGTCTCATCTGAACACTAATTAATTCGCATCCGTTTTCGCTCTTTTAGGAGTGAATACAATTTACACGATATCAGCTTTTGAGTAAAATATTATATCCGACACATCCGTTGACAGCCCTCTATAAAACGTGGATCTGTATATCTCTCGGGCGTTAATGTTTTTCCCGCCGAAAAATTGTCAAACATGACACGATTTTGCGAACTAATGTTTGCTCTTATTTATAATCTCAATACCGAGATAAGGATTTTATATTATCAACAGTAGCGGTACATCTACTATATTAACATTTTTAAGCGTTTTCAAACAGTAGCAAACGGTACCGGCGATTACAAAAAGATAGAACAATTCACCTAAACGCCCACACCTCCCTTTTGGTAGTAACTCTCCCATCGCAAACAAACGTCTAGACCTCAAGGTGTGAAAACATTAACACAATTATAGTGACGCAACGTTTTAAGGAGTGACTTTGTCCTAAGGTACTTCAGTTGGAGTCATTGTCATATCTAAAATTACCCTTAGAAGAATAGAATTATGTTTTATGGGTTTACTTAGCCTAAGAATAACGTTGTACAACAGGCATCGCGACTGAATACGACCCAAGGGCGACGTAAAACCGTGATATGACAATAGCTTACTCATATTCGACAATGCCTTGTTTCATATCAAGAATTTTTCTTTTTTGATAATTTTTATTAATTGGTGATATAAGATTGTATCAAACAAGTATTTTAACAGATAGAATGACTCAATATTTGAAATTCAATTCTCCCACACAGTTCTTGAGAACAAACACAAATATTTTTAATTCAACTTGAAACAATAACACATACTCAATATTTCCAATATTCTTGCTGACGCCCCCCAACTACCCGAGCTAATGTATTTAAAGTCTATCCCGTCACTATATATTCTCCTCCTGCTAAATAACCGTGTAGTTCGCTCTGAGCAAATCCCTGTATAAGTCCAACCGAGAAACAGCGGCGATACCTGATTTGGCAGTGACAGCAATTGTATGTTTCTATAAATATACATTGGGTAAATAATATTTGCATGTATAATTTAACGCATAACACTTTGTTTTAGTCTATTAATTCCACGATAAAATTTTTTAAATATTATTACTACTGCTATTACCTTAAATTATGCATATGCATCTAAAAAGCCGAACAAATTAGCGTTGAAATTAGAATTAGACTTGATCAGAAGTTACTTCAAATATAAATATAATCCGCCCTGACAAAGCGAGCACACGGAGTGCAATATTTCACTGCCGTGACGCACAGTGTCATACGTTAAATACGAATAAATCTGACAAATGATAATCACTTTTGCTTGAATTTAGAATTTCGATGACCATCCAACTTTTTGACGGATAGTTTTATGATGATTCCTTACACAACAGTCTCCTTCGTGTGTATTTTCTTGTCTGGAAGTAGAAGTTACACAAATATAGTTAGAAAGATAAGAAATGTCGCCGTTCCGGTATTATGAAGGCAGTAAACAAATAATGTCGAGATTGAGGTGGGCGATAGCAAAGATAGATTTGAAGCTCCCGCATTTTCGAATATTTGTATACCAAAACAGAGCGACAGCGCCTGGCAATGAGTATCCATCCTTATCACATTTCTAAAATTGTCCCGTAATCCATCTTTTCTCGCAACAAAAGCGGTTTCAACGCACGTCATCTTCAAACAAACTCGGCTGAGTGATCGAGTACATTTCTATCGCTAAATTGCCTTGTTCCCATAAAATGTAATCATAACGTCCGATGATGTGGCGAATAAAATATTATTTCGGAAGTATGTGACAACTTATATCAACTTCAAAGAGATAAATTGATTCAGTTCATGCCCACTCACCACAAAATAGGATAAGTGTGTACAGTAAGAAAGGGTAGATCTGTATAGTATCTGTATAGATCCGAAGTCACAGGAATTAGACGCTCGTCACTAACAGCGTCTCGCTCAACTCTCAGTCTATACTGCACAGAGTGTTCATAAACTGGGAATACAGTATAACAATCTTCGTGTATTTTCGTATATTGGTTTTGTGTGAAAAAGAAACTCAATATCAAAATATCAATTTTATACTTCCGTTCTTGAAACACAATATCGTGGTGTTGAAACCGGACGTATAAAAATATAGTGCAATGTGTTTCAACAAATTTTGTGCTATATTAGTTTTTGTGAGTCAGTAATACTGCTTCATGATCTTATTGTAGATGCCATTGCCAATAATAGCAAAAATATTTGTATAATCAACCTTTCGTTGAATATTCTGTTAAATTTGGACTTGGGAAGCTTCGATAATAACGGTTCCATTTTTACATATTATGAAACCCTGGAAAGATGCTAAAATGATATTCGTAAATTTTACAATAAAGAAAATGTCAGCATGTCGTTGTCGAAAAATATTTGCAAATTTTGGTCTTTGTCTGACAAGAATAGTTTATTTTTAGCTTTGTATTCGATGAATGGGTTTAGTTTTAGTTAGTTGAAATAATTCGCTTCGAAATGATAATGAAAATACATTCAATTTCTACTGACACATTCTTTTCAATATACCAATGTTTTACTTCGTATCTTGTCATATTAATTGTACAAATAAACACCGTTCAATTGTACATAATATGAGTCACTTAATAAATGGCCCACGCATTCGGGTTAGTACTAACTGTGTTCCATGCTGGAGCAAAATTTAATTTCTGATTTGAAAATTCTCAATATGGTATTTTCGTGAATCTGATAAAATATTTATTTTTCACGGGTTTGATTTATGCCCAAGGCATGCGATGTCGATACCGAGATACCGATTTCTTAGTCGACATTCAAAAAACGGAATACTATTTTGAGTTTCAACATTTCATTATCACAACTATTCAGCAACATAATCGGTGATGCTTTTTTTCGGTAAACGGTTCCTCAATATTGTTATTTGTACGGCGCGATGGCATGAGATGGTACGTGAAAGCGACGTTCTCAAATACATTACCAAGATTTCAAAAAATGCTTTTATATTTCTCAATTTTGAGATTATAAGGTAATACAGTATTTTTTATCCGTAGAGAGTGAATAATTGGATTTAAGCAATTTGATCAAACTTCTAGCCGCATTAATATTATAGATGTGCCGATACCACTTTTTTGTCGATAACGATACCTACGAAAAACGCCGATACCGATACGCCAATATTTCAAAAAGCCGATATAGCCGATAATATTTGCGGACAGACGAGATAAACTGATATTCCAGAACATGACATGTTGATGGTTTGTGATCCAGGTGCATTAATGACGTGTCGGCGTGTCACGAGCCTCAGTACTAAGGGTTTATTGAATTACTTGAGATAATTTAATCGTGAATTGTTTTGTAACTTCTACGTATGTGTCTCAATACTTAATTTTTTTTTTACTTATTCTGCAGACGTTTCCTTGTGCACCGGCGCTAGGAATCAGCGTTCGATTAGAAAAACTCGTGTTAGCTATCTACGGTAGACATAAGCGAATTGGGTACTATGGATAGTAAAATAAATAAATGTTTACTTATCCTAAAAAAATAATACATTGAGTTGCGTACGCAGGATTTTGTGTCGGGACAATTTCTTATCTTGTATATTACACATAGGAAAATCCAATAAAATTCGATTGATATTTTTCTTCATTATTACCACGTATTATTCAAAACGTTAAATATAAAATTTTGATACGGAAAATATAAAAATTATTTGATATAGTTTAGCTGATAAATAGCTAAAACAGGTCAGAATCTTGTTCCCGTTTCTACTCGCGACGATGGGGCGGACATGCCTCAGAGTTAACGAGGCACATACCGCGACATGATCATCCCTCTGTGCAAAAATAATTTCAACGCCCGCACTTTTATTCCGAATCATTGTGGATCAGATCAAAAAGCTGAAAATATAGATATTCATTTAGCCGATACGATACAAATACCGATAACGAAAAATGATCAATATTGTCGATATCGGTACATCTCTAATTAAAACAGGATTAAAACTACACGCTATGTCGAGTTTTGTTTCGACAAATCAATTACCGCGACAATCGCAGATTCCTTCATTTAAACTAAAGTTTTGGAGGAAGGATATTATAAAGTACACTACGCGCTAGGCGATAGTAAAGTTGTTGTTACACTAATAAGTTTCAAATATTTTTGTTGAAAAAAACGATTTAAAATTTTTTTTTTCGTAGGAACAACTCAAATATATAAGTTTTTAATTCCCTGTTGAGTAATTCTTGGAATTACTTTATTTATGAATTTAGTATTTTACTTAGTAATTCTTTGAATAGAAATATTGAGAAAAAATTAATAAAAAAGTGTCCAAAACCAAGTAGTTCTTAAGTTCCACTCATTTTTAATATATTCATTTGAATTGTAATATTGAAGAATTTCAAACAAGAGAATCAAGAAAATATTGTACAAAAAGTACATGATTTAATATATAATTTTCTGCCTAAATGAATAAAAATTTTACGAATGTATTTTAAACTAATGAAAGAATTAAATTTGGGTTTTTGCATATGATTGATTTTCACCGAATTAACATGTCTTTGCGACATGAGCTTGCAAATCAAATTAAACAAAACACAAAAATGCTGCATGCACTACCCCTGACCGAGTCTGTCGAATCCCGGTACCGTTCAGTACAAATTTTTGAACTGGATTATAAATTTAAAATATTTTATCAAGTATGGGCGATTATCCACGGCTGTATCTATATAGGTTGAAAGTCGTTTTGTTTATCGCAACCGTGGTGATATCTTTGCTTATAATTGTATAACATATCAAATGACGAGGTGTGTATTGGGTACTAAATGGCGTCATCGAAACAAAAGATCAAATTGCTGAGATTCAGCGAAATGAAATACAAAAATAGTTATAATTTGC